TTTTGGAGTTATCACCCTTTAACACTTTGTATATAAAAGCTCTCCCAGGGAGACTTCATCCATTTCTCACCCATCCAAAGCTTCTACCATGACTTCTGTGAAAAAGAAACCAAATCTCTAGCTCAGAGTTTATGCTCTTTTCTGAACTCCACAAACTATTTTAAACATTGGGCTTTGCTAATGGTTGTACAGATTGTTCTCTGTCACAGGTGTCCAGCAGGGGTTAATCGAGGATTAAACTCCAGTTTAGAGTTTGATAATGAAGACCTGCATTAAAGGGACATTAAACTCCTACAGGGACCAATTTTTTTCGTTTACAAGAAGGCACCATATGTGCTGATGGGCCTGGATGTCCACCTAGTTTTCCCGAGGGTCCCCTTAGATTCTCCATGGCACATAAATGCAGTGAAATAGACAGCCTTTTAAAAAGAATATGAGATAACTATTTGTTCAGTTCAGGAGAAGATCCAAAACGTTGTACTATACAAAAAGAATGAAGTTGCATAGAATGCTCCCCATCTTGCACAAATACAAATAATAATAATACTTTATTCTGGAACTAGAAAAAAAAATTTAGGTATAAATGCCAAACTGTTATTAGTACTTGTCTTTGATGTGCAAGTATATGTACTATATATTTCAGTAGTGTTTGATTTAAAAAATTTTTCATTATATTTATAAACTAATGAAATAATAAAGATATTTTAGAGTCAGATGCCATTTTCCATATTAGATTATTCTATTAGTTACTTAATAATCACGACAGCTAACATTTACTGAGTACTTAAAATCTCTAGGCTCCAGGCTAAATACACATCTGTCTGCTGATTAATACTGAAAGTTAGGTATTACTATTATTTTACAAGTGAGCCCAGAGAAGTTATTTCTCCTAAAATACCACTATCCTCTCCTACTTGAAAATGTGATTATCTCTGAATTTGTCTTAACTCTCTACATTCAGGTGGTTGCAATGCATATGTTTAACTATGTCCACAGTCTACCCTACGTGTATTTACTCTCATCTTTTCTCTTATACATTAAAACCACCATAGTTCAGATCTTCACTATTCTCAACTGAGATATTATCATAGGTTTTCTGCTATATAATTCTTCAAGGTTAAGCCTGCTAAGCAAGGCTCTAATTGAAGTAATTATTTTAAATAATATTTTCTGATATGTAATGTAATATATATCATATTAATTTATGGTATATATAACACAATGACATAATTTATATATGCTAGTAACATAATTATATTTATTACTAGATCTGTAATATACTATTGAGGACCTCTTCAGTAGTCCTAACCTAAAAATCATCTTTAACTCCCATTACTCCTACTGCCCTAAGTCATTCGAAGGTCTTATTAAATTATAGTATTCATTGTTTTTGAAAGAAGCAACATTTTTCCTGACTCAAATCTTACTTATGCTAATTTCTTTCTTGGAATGCCTCTACAACCTCAATTCACCCTTTGTAAACATTCTTTCTCATTTAAACTCAAGTTCAGGCATCACCTTTTTAATGAAATCTTTTATGATTATTATTAGAACTTATTGCTTCTTAGTTTAAATTACTTAATTGCATTGATTCAGCATTTAATATGACTGTTCAACAAGTATTAGAGTTAATTATATACCCGTCTAAGCCTAGATTAAGTTCCCTGAGAAAGTGGACTGTCTGGCTCACTTGTGTTTATTTAACTCAGTACAATGATATGAACGTTGTGATCAATGCATGTCTGTCAAATTGCATTGTATAGAGTTCATTCTACACAGTGTTTTCACGTTGTTCCTTGGCTAGTCCCTTAATAGATAGTCTGAACAACCTTAGGCATGCTCAATAAACAGCAATACATTGATTAGATGCGTGAAATTATCAGAATGTTTGTTCTTTCAAAATACAATTATTGAGCAGAAAATTGTCTCTGACAGGAAGAAATAATAAAAAATAAAATGATAGGTGAAATACTATGCATAATGTTTATGTAG